CTTGATCCTCAAAGGTGAGGTGTTGGTCAATGATGAGGCCAAGATAACGCGCTGTGGCAGAAGGTCGAATATCGACACCACCGCATGCAAGTACGATACTTGTATATACTAGTAATACCGATATCCATGCAATTGGTGGACAGTGTGTCCTCTGCCTTATGACACTGACCCTGAAAACGAATAAGAGCAATGATTGTATCAGTGAAGATGGCCCAACAAAATAAACCAGTAGAATGTTGTCCTACAAATTATAGTCTGGCCTTATCGGGCCAAAATGTTATGTAGGGGTGAAACGATTAGTTCGAATATTCGAGTATTCGTTCGAAAATTTCAAACGAGCGAGTATTCGAAATTTTGCACTCGATCGTTTTTTTTTTTTTTTTTTGTATTGGCATTCTATTTTTCAAAAACGTTTGTTATACTGCTCGTCCACTGTACATGGTATGCATGCCTTTGCATGCCTTTGAGTCAGCATTTTATGACTTGGGCGATGCGATCACCACGGCAAGTAACGATCTGAGATATGAAAGTACTTTTGAAAATCGTTACTTTACACTCTGTACAAGACGTTGGCGACCTTTGCTCTATGTTCAGAGATAATTTCTCCCGAATTGGTCGAGAACTCACAAATCTAGCGCTTTTGAATTTTGATAAAATAGTCGAAATAATCGGATACTCGATCGAATATTATGAACGAGTGATCGATTGGTCAAAATAGATACTCGTTTCACCCCTACTATAATGTAGTGTTGTTTCATACTTGAATTTTGTCCCTTTGAGTGTTTGATTGTTATCTTTCACGCACATTGGGTATCTTGCAAGAACCTTGTGATACTTTTTTTGGCATTGTTTAGGTGTTATGTTATCACTATTCATTCTTTATAATGGTCTGTGTTGCCATTTGTTAATCAGTACAACGATGCTTCCTGATGAGCGCTGTGTGAAAGTTAGTCACAAGTCGATGCATTTTTATATTTCGCATCGTTCCTGTTATTGTTCTTCACATTACATTTCCATCGTAGTTATTTCTTTGTCCATCATCACTTTACGAAGTAGTGGTTGCGACTTCGGCGATGATTTGTAGCAAACCCTTTCTTACACATCATCACTTTCTCTAGAATTTGTTGGTGACATCTGAATAAAACCTTCGTGAAGTGACGCTTCAGCTGATTCTGTTTATTGCCATCCTTAAAATAGTAACCAGTCTACGATGTACTGTATAAGTACAAAGTTTCGTTTGGAATTATCTTTCGCTATATTCGTTAGGGGGGCACGAAATAACTAAAGTTTTTTTCTGAACGTTTGGGGTGACAAACCTCGACCAAAAACTAAAATTGCCGATATGGATTGCTGGCGGTCGGAACGGGCATGATGGTGGAACACCCGGATGTTCAGGAAAGCCCGTTCAAAACGTCCACCCCACACACCCGATGCAGCCACATCCAGGCGGACACCATCCGCCTCTGAGATGGCGGAGCGGTGACGGAAGGTCTCACCGCCGGTTAGTGGCTGGAGATGCGGCTCCGATCTGGACAACATTTTGCCACACACATTCCATTGGCAAGCCCGGAGGGGTCCAACCATAACGGAAGCATATAACCTCCCAGAAAGCCTGCTTATGCTATGGAGGCTGAAACCATACTGACGAAGGGGCCGACAGGTCAACCAGCTGGAGGTGCCCTTTTCGGCAGCAAGATGCAACGTGCGCTCTGCGATGCTGGTGGAGGTGGCAATGACCGAGGCAACAGCTTCCTTTGCCAGACGCCGAGATAGGCACACAATCTCTGCTTTGTTTGTGATGGTGGCAGCCGGAATGCCTTCTGCGGGCGGATCTTGGCGAAGGATTTTCTGCACTGTAGAGACTTATGATGTGCATGGAGTCCTGGAACTGGGAGGCAAGGGAGGGTGGGTTGACGATTCCCAGCTCTCTATTCCTGCACTGTAGAGCCAGCACGACACGCTCGAAGTCTCCTGGTGGGAAGCGGTTGGTGATAGCAAGGATGAATTAAACGCTACGGATTGTTTCCTCCAGGGGTGCAAGCAGGTCAGCCGTATTTGACACTGTCCGGGCAACGTAGGACCACTTGTGGCAAACTCCCTGGCCAAAGGCAGCACATGCAGCTTGTGGTTGGGTGCGGGCGAGCTCTTCCAGAACATCCACTTTGCGACACCATTCGTCCACCTTGCCCGACACATACTACCGTACTGGCAATATAATTATGTTGCCGCGTAACGCGTAACGCAGGGGGGGGTGCGGCGTAACGCGCGACCAGGCTAGTGCGACAAACTTTCGTTGCGTTCGTAACGCGCGTCCGGCAGGGTGCGGCGATCTTTTCATTGCAAAAAAGGCTGAAAACTGTGAAAGCACGTGTACCGCGTGGTGAAAAGTTCAAAACTGGACGCAGCAGGAAGTCCTGCAATAGCAAAAAAAAGGACTGCGGCAATATAGAAACCTGTGTAACGGCTCCTGTGCGACTTTGCATGTAACGCCCTGCGTGCGGTAAACATGTGCCAATGTAACGCTTCATGGCCTCACTGCGACCATATTATATTGCCAGTACGGTAGTATGCCGAACAGAATGTTGGTGTTCTGAGGACGTACACTGTAGGCGGCGACACCCATCCGTCTGAATCTATGCTGCAGCCCTGGAAGATTTCCCAGGCCGGATCCAAGCACTCAGGCTTCACCAAGAGTATCGGCTTTTGGCATTGATGAAGTCACCATAAGATGGACCTTCTTCTTCCGGGATGGACCATCACCTATGAGCTTGGTAAGAGCGCTTGCTACCGTGGAGTCGTCCGCAGACCGTGCTTGTACTGCCTTTCTAGAAGCTGCACGACGGATGAAAGACACGGTGCCCAACGCATACATCACCATCGCTAGTGGGTCGCCTTGCGTAGTACCTTCGTAGGAGAGAATGGTCTCGCCACTGACGAACAACCGAGATGGGTACCGGTACGTGTTGACGACGGTGGTGGAGAATTTTGGACACAGATGCTGCTAGATGCTGCTAGATGCTGGATGTGACGAATGATTAGGTTACGATTGTAACATGCTGTTATCGTAAAACATACTACGACATTCGTACTACTCCCTTGTCTGGCCAGATATGCGCCCGTATCGTCTCCGGCCAGATATGCGCCCGTATCGTCTCCGGGAAAGAAAACATCTACCGAAAGAAGCACTTGAAGTCCTTCTTTTGGTAGATGCAGTACAGTCAACTTCGCTAATAACGACTGCGGATATAACGACAATTCGCGGATAACGACCGAATTTCCATGCCCAGAGCAAAGTCCCATCTAACTGTACACATTTTACTTCGGATATAACGACTATCTGAATAACGACAATTCGCGTATAGCGACATGCTTTTAGTGCCCCGAGGTCATATTCACTGCTTGAATAACGACGTTCTGGACTTTTGACAGCTATTTCAAGTACCTGTCAGTCAAGTACAATCATGTACATGTACATGTACCTGTCATTTTTTTTTTTTTTTTTTTTTTTTTTTACTAAGGCATGCAGTAGTACCAGAACCTATGGTGATGGATATAAAGGCACACATGCAAGAAAATGCAGCCAAGGGGGGGGGGGCTTTTTCTTCCTTTTTATGTTGGCTTCAAAATTGTTGGATTTACCAGCACACCTACATGTACATGTATATGTACATACAATGTACATGTAGTTGTACAAGATAGTACAGTAATCATCATACATGTACATGTCTCTGGCCCTGTAGATGGCTCAAAAAGGCATACTTTTCAATTGATTTCCCTTGCATATTGAATTTTTAGTTCCTTTCAACTGCAATATGAAAATAAAGTACACATTGACATACATGTAGAGCAAGAAAAGAGCTTGATTTTGATATGCATGTCATACTATACAAAATATGGGTTCACATACATTCAAATGGGACTTCGCGAATAAGGACACTTTTCTGATGCCCCGCCGAATGTCGTTATTGGCGAAGTTGACTGTAGTTGGAACATAGAAAATAAAACGTCGTTTCGTACGGAAGAAGCGGTTTTGTTTTCTCTGTTCTTCTCCGTCTATGATACCCATGCATAGACTTCAGAAATGATATTCGTTAGGTAATACTGACATGTATGCACTTTGTTGTATTTATAAAGCCTCAGAGTTGGGAAAATTCATTTTCGTACTGAGGTACTTCGCCCTTACAAACTCCCTGGTAAGTACATACTTATCTACAGACCGTTACCGTAACCAATCGACCAGAGGCTTTTCCTACATCGACCAGGGGTGCACCCCATACATGTACAAGTACTTAAATTATAGTATAAAAACCTCCAGTCATTTGCGTGTTCTAAAAAGGAGGTAATATTTTCTGGTTATCACTCATATAAAAAACCTGGTGCTGTAAATAACCTGTATAAAAAAACCTGGTGCTGTAAAAACCCTCTTTTTAGGAAATTGACTGGAGGTTTTTTTATGCTATAATTTAGATAGAATATAAGCTTCGCCCTCGTGTTTACGGGAAAAAAACCCTCGGTTTCGCCTCGGTTTTTTATTTCCCGTATTAAAGGCCACACGTTTCTATTTCTATGTTTCTCGTCACCCGTGCGCATACGTTTCAGGAGTCTGGAAGAAAAAAACTGTGCTGCACTGACTGTGCATGTGGGGACCAGCACACTCATGCACATGTACATAATGTGGCCTGGCCCGCGCGACACATGATGCAAGAACGGCATTTTTTTGTGCGCAATCTAGCTGCACATGCACAGATTGTGACAGAAGCTCCTGCCACATACTAATTGCTAACTATGGATGCTATTTTGCATGGTGTACTGGTGGATTTTAGTGTGAACAAAGGTCTAATAAACTTTTTTTTATTTTTCTGTCATTTTTTATTATTTTTTCCACCTCTCGCATACGTTTTTAGATTTTTAGATTTTCAGGTGACGAGAAACACAGAAATAAAAACGTGTGGCCTAAACACTCGGGACTCAACTTATATTCTATACATAAACACTGGAAGTTTCTAATTAACTTTACATTCACCGTGGTGCCGGAGACCAAAAGACCAGCAAACCAGCAGCACAAAACAAATTTAAGCGGGTAGACCTACACTGGACATAACTGCATGACATTGTACTGCACTAGAACACAATGTACACAGCGCTATATATGGGTACAGAGCAAATATGGTGGTGGCAGTGATATATATAGCAGACAGGAACATTATGTACAGCAGCACAGAGGGGCTGCAGAAACTGGAAGATCACAGGAAGTGTGCAATGTGAATAAAGTAGAATATCGAATAAAATGTACTTTGCACTATAATACAGAATAGGAGCGGTGCAGTGCGATGAACTAGCTAACACTTACACATTCACACCCAATATGTACAAAGAGATGCTAGCAAAAATACAATCTTCAGGCATCCCATCAGTAGCATACTTAAGAAGAAGAAGAAGAAGAAGAAGAAGAAGAAGAAGAAGAAGAAGAAGAAGAAGAAGAAGAAGAAGAAGAAGAAGAAGAAGAAGAAGAAGAAGAAGAAGAAGAAGAAGAAGAAGAAGAAGAAGAAGAAGAAGAAGAAGAAGAAGAAGAAGAACACATGGACTGGGTTCAGGACAATTTCACAGAGAGAGAGAGAGAGAGAGAGAGAGAGAGAGAGAGAGAGAGAGAGAGAGAGAGAGAGAGAGAGAGAGAGAGAGAGAGAGAGAGAGAGAGAGAGAGAGAGAGAGAGAGAGAGAGAGAGAGAGAGAGAGAGAGAGAGAGAGAGAGAGAGAGAGAGAGAGAGATAGAGATAGAGAGAAAGAAAGAGAGAGAGAGAGACTTGCTGAACAGCAGAACCACCCTACAGAGTCACATACGACAGCTTGTTTCGACTAGTTCTCTGGATTTCTTTCCAGGTCAATGAGAACCATGTGAACCAGAAGGCAAGCCAGACCCAGGATATGACCTATATGGAACACAAACACAACAGTCACATGTTTTTAAAGCAACTACTGAAAAAAAGAAGGCTAGGGGTGCGTTTACGATCTAGAACAAGATCGAACAGCTGGTGCACATGGAGCAGCCTCATGCCAACTAAACGGTACTCCAGAAACTGAGCACATTTTTGTGAAAAATGTGCCAAACGTGGTGCATTCTTCAAAATGTGTATGGGTCACCATGGTCACTTTGTACGGTACGGCGAGTCCAACCCAAAAGCGTATACACGTGATCATTTGGGACCAAAATTGATGTTCCCGCCAGGTTTCACTGTGAAAAGTGAAACTGCTCGGTCTGCTCCGGCCTCGAGGCCGGAGCAAGTTCTGGCCGACCCAGAACAGGTGCAGTTCCAACCAAACGTGCTGTTCTGGTGAATCCTGTTCTAGGTCGTACCAACCAAACGCGCCCTAGTATTAACCCCATTCACGGTCTCACATTTAAAGATTGAGCACCAGCGCTCAATGTTTTCTATCGTGTTAACTCAGTCAGTTCTTGGCCACACTCGTAACATCTTAAAACATCTACATTGTAGGTTGAAGAGAAAACTCCAGGCGATCTGTAGAAACAATCACCGAAGTGATACAATGAACGGCTGCAACGCCTACAGCGCTCACAATCTGCTCATTTGCAATTTGAGTGTACGAGCTGTGTCTTGAAGACCGAGGTTCCCTTTGCAGCTGACTGTTGCCATAGAGACACCACAGCCCATGCATAAAAAAGATGGACTTCTAGCTTTTGGCCATAAATGGGTCAAACTTTGAGTTTTTTAAGAATTTTTCTGCAATCCCCTATGGAATCCTCTTCCAATTATGTTTCTGACGTCTATTTCTCCAAAAAGCAAGCCCTAACAAGAATAGGATTTCGGCCAGGTTTTGCCCCAAAAGCCCTGAATTGGGAAAAGCCATCAAAATCCAGGCCGTTTGACTCCGCCTGCACCAGTGCACTGTGTGGTTCGAACCCCAGTTCAAGTACCCTTTTTCGACCCTTTTCAAATTTCAAATTTTGCAGCACTGCACTGTGTACGATAAAATCACGAAAATCGCCAAATACAGGAGCTCGCCAGAGCCAATCTTTTTATGAATGGACTGTAATTCAAGAGAGCATGGACTTGCAGGACTCCTTACAAAATATTCGAGCTCGATGTGAGCAAAGACTGAAAGAGAGAGAGAAATGGCTGTTGAATCTTGTTTCTCGCTGTGACTCAAGCACTGGGGCGATTTTGCTGGGCTATACCGCTGGATTCATGGCATGCTTGGTGTTGAATTGTAGCTGGGAGTGTTGCTCCTATACAGAGCTTTCCAAGATCACGAAAATACGCCAAAGGAAGCTGGAGTTAGCAATAAGTCAGGGTAAGAAATACCAAGAATTACTAGACTCGGGTGAAGAGCCAGGGATTAATTTATAAGAAGAAAGAGGACCAAGGAACTACGGGTTACACTATAATATCCACTAACACCACCAGTTACTTTACAATCAGCTCATGCGATAGCATTGCACGACACTGACCAACGGTACTGACGTTCTACACCTAACAACTAATCTATCTTCGAATCTTTAGAGCCACACAAGTTGTGTTGTATTGCTATGCGTCCTTGAATCGTGATTTGACTGTTTTGTCTGATGGTCTTGCCAGCATCGTCCTCGGTATACATGTACCGTAAAGTCCGGAGCAAACGCCCACCCCATTTTTGCAAGATCTGCTGGCCTGTACACACTGACCCCATGCACTGTCACCCCTACTGTACGAAAGTGCATCTCACACCGTAGCGGGAAGAGCACTTTGCTACGGTAAACTATGTCCACTTTCCTGGTTTCAAAATCTCTTTGTGCACTAGCGCTATCCACGAGCTAGCTAGCTCGTAGTGATTTTATATGATGGTTGTTTTATTTCGCAAATCCGAACGGGTTTTCTTCCGAATAACAAGGTACCGAGTATTGAAGGAACCAAATACACTTCTGACGGTGTTTCAAGCCATCATTTCGAGATCACACAGCCCCAAAGGCAAATGTTTTTCTTGGGCACCTCGGAGTTTTCAACAAGTTAGCAGCGACGTTGTACATGTAGGTGTAGCTTCTGTTACATACCCTTTTCGACTTGCAACTGCAATATTGGGACCAGTCAAGCCGTTGACTGACGCTTCATCAGAACAATTATTGTTCCTGACAGTGCGACATTGTGGCACTGCACAAATTTATGCGGCATTACTCGTACCACATGGAGAACAAACTACCACCTTTATTGAATGAAAGGAAATCTCGACAGAAGTTATTTCTTTGCAGGAAGATAATGACAATCGCTTTTGCACAGCCTCTTGGTAGGACATAGGCAGTTTGTAGGCATTACAGTCGTTCTCGTACGCATTCGACCTTCATGCCAGTTGTTTACAACTAAATTGACCTGAAAAAGACGAAAATAGTATGGACCCGCTGGGGTGGGCGTTTGCTGCGAAGTGGGCGTTTGCTCCGGACTTTACGGTACATCCGCAAACGTCCTTCACAGCTGAACGTCCTTCACAGCTGAGATTTTCAGCTCGTGCTCGTCTTGGTTGCGCTCACCTTCCCCTCCTTATGTTATTTCTATAACTTAGAACCTTCCAAGCTGGAAGGCTGTTGGAGTGCGCATCCAAGACGTGCTAGAGCTGATTGCCAGTTAGGTGTAGAACGCCAGTACCGTTTGTCAGTGCCGTGCAATGCTATCGCATGAGCTGATTGTAAAGTAACTGGTGGTGTTAGTGGATATTATAGCGTAACTTGTAGCTCTTTGGTCCTCTTTCTTCTTATAAGAATTACTCAGAAATAATTGTAGAAAGGAAAAGGAAATATAGATACGAGTTGAGAGTAACTCTCCATCACTTTAACCAGATACTATATACAGTCAGAAAGTGCAACAACTAGGCACAAAACTGACAGAGTACTGAGACATTCGACGTCCTGACACGTCTATATTTCCTTTTCCTTTCTACATTTATTATTGGTTCAACATCCGAGTTTCAGAAATAATTACTAAGAAATTGTTTAATTCAGCGAATGGCCTCATTTCAACTGGATTTTGAGACCGTGAAGTTTGCTTGGTCGAATCCGTTAATTCGAAGGCCGGAAAAAAAGCGGCCACAAAATACTTACACCGAGTGTGCAGCAAACGAAGCGGGAATGTGGCCGTGGGCCACAGCTGTACTGGACTCCGCCTACACAGCAAGAAAAACACAACACCAGTAACAGCCATAAACATAAGATTGTACCGTCACAAACCATCCACATACCACGAAGACATGCGGCGTGTGTCGGTTCTAAGAAAGAAACAATTTGACTGAACAAAGCGGCACACAGTCAATGACTTACGCGTGGCAGTTTTCTTGCGGCATTGGCATTGTAAGCTTGCTGGGCTTGACCTGCAAAAAAAAAACAGAACATCACCAAAATTACAACTAAACTTGAACACCAGATTATTGAGATAGAAGTCAGGTAAAAAAGAAGAAGAAAAAAAAGGTCAGCCTTTGGGTCGAGTTGTAGGTTGCATCAAGAGTGCTAGTTATGATTATCCTGCTTTCAGCCAATCAGAAACCACAAACGCAGGACATACTCATATTTTGCGCGTCTCATTACCAATATAATAATATTATCCTGCTGAACAGTGCAGTGCCTTTGCATAAGAACGGTCCGCGACACTGCTGCCCTCAAGGTACCGTCAAAACATTTGAATCAGTGGAGAACATGCCGGATTTGCAATTTGCACATGCACTGACTGACACAGATACGGAAGGGTGCAATAGACACACGCATCGGCATGAACACTTTTGTCCAACACTCTTGTGCAGTCAGAGGGGTTCCCAAGGCGTCCTTCTTTAGCATCAGCCAAAAAGACAAGCGCCTGTGCTGACATCAAGGCCTGCAATTCACTGTTTTCGTCCGTGCACAAATTATTCTCCACCCGCACGGTTGGTGCTTTTAAGAAAATGATAACGGTTTCCCACCTTTCTTCCTAATGATGCTACGATGGTGTGTGCAGAACGGAGACTTGGACTTCATATTCACAGACTCCGTGCATTGGCGAGTCTGGAAGGCAACACAGAACAACACATCCACATATTCAGACATTGATATGCTAATGGAAATACATGTCTGTTACATACTCCCACAGTACGCCTGTGGGACATTTCATTCTCAGCAGTTAATCGGATTATATTCACCAGGGACATGAAACAGGCGTATAAATCGCTGGGCTATCTACTATGGTCTCAATACAATTCAATTCCTCTCTGATTGAATAGCACTCACTCGACAAAGCTTGCATATCTCACGCAGGCTGGTTTCTCCAGCAATTCAATTGGGCATAGAAAGTATGTAAAAATGCTTGGTCAGCGTTGAGGCAACGTGCTTAAAGGGGAAGTTAAGGCAAAAATTAAAATTTCACCAGTTGTAGTCTTCGGGGTGCTGAGTCGAATGGTCGTGGTCCGAGGAAGCTGAGACGCTCCCTTCCTACTTGAATCCCAATCGAACTCGCGCACTTCCACCGAAACTGGGTGACTGCGCCCTACGAGATGGGGATTTGTATGCAAAATGTCACTAAAAGCGCCATTTCGTTCTTATAAAAGCACGGATGACCGCGATTGGCCCATATGTTGTAGTCTTTTGGACGCTGAGTCGACTGGTTTTGGTCCGAAAAGGCTGCGATGCAGCGTTCCGCCTTTATTCCCAATCGAACATGGTTGAACAAGCGGTCACGTGCTCCTGCGTACGCCAGTCACCTGGTCACCGTGCCTGCAGGGTACAACTTACTAGCCTGTTTGACCTTTTTTGGGTGCAGTCCTGTCACTCGAGTTGAACTCGAGTTGAACCTTGGTGTGAAAGTTGTCACCTGCTGGCGTGGTGACCAGGTGATTTGGGCACCCAGGAGCACGTGACCACTTGTTCAACCATGTTCGATTGGGAATAAAGGAGGAACGCTGCATCGCAGCCTTTTCGGACCAAAACCAGTCGACTCAGCGTCCAAAAGACTACAACATATGGGCCAATCGCGGGCATCCGTGCTTTTATAAGAACGAAATGGCGCTTTTAGTGACATTTTGCATACAAATCCCCATCTAGTAGGGCGCAGTCACCCAGTTTCGGTGGAAGTGCGCGAGTTCGATTGGGATTCAAGTAGGAAGGGAGCGTCTCAGCTTCCTCGGACCAAGACCATTCGACTCAGCACCCCGAAGACTACAACTGGTGAAATTTTAATTTTTGCCTTAACTTCCCCTTTAATAATATAATAGGCTAGTTCTAAGAAAGTTAGTGCACGTCAGCCTGAGCACAAGGGTTTGCTAGCATCTCTTGGGCCATACTAGTTGGGCATTACCAAACCACAGGACCCTCACCCGGGTTGTACAAGAAATGAAAAAGTTCCGTTTTCGGGCGGGTAGGTCGAGGAGAGTTTCATTTTGAGAAAATATTGATAGCCGATATATTATAAATCGAATCTGTCCAGACAATATATTTTTCGTTCAGGGGTGTGGGTGGGCGGGGGAGGTTAATACCAATTTTTTTTCGTTTCATGAAAATCATCCATAATGCCGGATGGCCTCTTACCTCATCAAGCATATACTTGCACTGTGATGCACCAGCACTGGGTGCACTAGCAGATGCACCAGCACCTGAACCGGACACAGCCGAACTGGACGGTGCACTTGACTGAACAAACACATACATGTACACACAGTTGCACATACCCACAAACACACACACACAGACGCACGTGCGCACGCACACACACGCGCGTGCGCACGCACACCCACAATGAAACCCCCGAAGAGACAGGTCCAGTTGCACATACCCACAAACACACACACCCACCCACACACACACGCGCGTCACGGCTGTTATGCATGCATAATCCAGCGACATTATGTACGGTACGACATTTTCCCGTCGCCCCAGTGATCCATGATGCTGTCGTACGCGACCTTGCTGCCTTTTTCAAATCTCTGGAAATATTCGGCAAGGTTTCGCCTATGTTTCTGTCGATTCCAGCCGTTTTCTACGCTGGATTCGCGAAGTCTGAGCGAATTCACCTTCCTGCCTTCAAGCTGCGCAAGCAGATATTTTGATCGTCAAAATGCGCAATGGGAAAGTGAAGTTACGATCTTTTTCGTTTCGTTCTTCCTCGTCGTGCCGGCCATTGGCGTTTATCAGAATTGGCTCACATTCGAGGCTTCCTCCTAAGGGGTGCAGAATTTTTGGCAGCCTTCACGCCAATTTTCATTGAAAGGTTTGTCCTTTTCCTACGTCGTAGTTATATTTTCATTGCCGCCCAGATTATCGTTTTCGTGCCCAAGTCGATTTGCGTGGCGTACTTGGACGTCAATTGCAAGTGTTTGCTGATATACGCAGGACGAGTGGAGGTGTGTTCTCCTGCCTCATGTCTAACGAAGACCCCGGTTTCGTCCGCCATAGGAGGGATCCGTGCATGCTTCGTTCTGGATGTCAGCAAGTACAAATCAGACATGCATCCAATCAACATTTTTTGAAATTCATGCTTTCGAAATGTATGTAGAAACAGGACATTGTGTAGAGATTTTGAATGTTAGAGATGCAAGATTCCCCATCTGTCTGAGGCCTTACGTGTAGACACACAGGCATGGGTTTTTTGTATTACTAGTGTTACTGCAGATTTAGGCCACGCACAATGTAGTCTTTCGACGATCCTGCTGAAAAGCACACACTTGCATGCGTAAATGCATGCGTAAAGACCATACTGAAATACTCCCAAGTAATTGAACAACAACAAACGGCAACCGTGATGCAGCTTATAATTATATCTTGCACTCCATCAGCACTAAGCACAGCATGGCACTCAGGACAGGGCCGCAGCCGCTGGTACCGTACCCGGTTTTACCACTCTCGGCGTTCATGATAATTACATGTAACATGTTCAATATGCAAATGATTATGTAGAACACTAATAGGCTATCCTCGTACACTCCTCACTAGAGTCCCTCCTAAACTGCTTTCTTCTTTAGTGAGGACTACTGTACAAGCTGCATTATGCAGAGTATCTGTTGCTACCGGAGTGTGTAGCCGAAACAACCAGGTTATTATTCTGATGCGAATAAGATACACAGCATCACGCATCTTCATGACCGTGCCATTCCTATGGAGCTGGCTCAAGGCTCAATGGCAATGCAGTTCACCTGCTGAATTGACAGATGTCCATGAATTCATTTTAAAATAACAAGTCGGTCAAGTGAGAATTCAAGTCGGCAGGAAGAGCGCAAGCTCCCACGTATGGAGCAACACACAATTCCCCAAGTATCGCCGAAGTCGCATCAACCTCTTCTTCACATTAATTACGATACAGAGAATTAAATCAAAGCTGTAAGAAGCTAAATAATTCTGTGACTTGAAACAAGCATTGATAGAATAACACCTATAGCAGGTCCATGTGCTTTAAAAGTTAGAGACTGGAAGATATCCTCTATTTGTACACTAACAACACCAACATGGAAGCGTTGCGGGCAACCAACTCCGCCATGCTATGACACTTGATGATGTGTTGTGGTACTTTGCTTATCACTGCAAGCCCACTGGTTGACTTGACCATCATCCATTGCTTCTTTCATGATGAATATCAGCAGTGCAACTGTGGCAATAAATATCACTGCCTCCAATGCCGCACTTATTGGAGGAGCACATTCTACTGGAAATGAAACACTTCAATGTTCAGTTAGTGCTGATCTGGAATAGTATGGAGAGCAGGGTGGTGAAGAGTTACACGCAAATTCAACATCCTTGCCGATGAGCACTGTGGAGCATGTGCAATGCAGAAACTGCTGTCCAATAGTATACAGAATCTGATTTCCAGCAATCCTAAAATCCTCACATTGATCCCCAAGGTGAAGAGCACACGCATGAAGAGACGTACATGTAGCTGCTATGTCATCAACTTTGCGTTGAGAGAGTAGCAGACGATCGAATTCTATCCTTCTCCTTCTCCAAGATGAATTGCTATGTCTAACGATTTATTTGTGCTCTTTTCTTATGCACGGAAATCTGGCTGTAAGCTGTCCTCAGGGGACAACATGTTCTAGAATAAGAGCAGTGGGGTTCCATCTGTTCACGTCATGATGGTAGTGAGTCAAGCAAACGTGCTCCCTTCTTGTTCCGAAGTTTCAAACACAACTAATTCCATGATGCACTACATTACTAGAATTTATTACACTGCATCGTCTTGAAAACAATTCCTGTATTGATTCCAGGACATACTAACTTCAGTACTTCGCCGAAGGGAGGCTTCCAGGTCTTGGTAGACGTATTCTCTTCCAGCATGGCCTCATACGACCTCTCCAAGGCACGAAGCCATCGCCCCAAAAACAAAAACTTTCTTCGATAAATTTGAAAAATGTGCAGAAAGACTGCACGCGTCGGCACGCTGTGCGTACGCGAGCTGTTGCGATGCGGGTTGCTACGGTACGCCGCCATATTGATAAATGTCGCACTCGGAACAGCCGTGGCGTGCGCACGCACACCCACAATGAATTCAACCCCCGAAGAGACAGGTCCAGTTGCACATACCCACAAACACACCCACCCACCCACACACACACGCGCGTGCGCACGCACACCCACAATGAATTCAACCCCCCCCAAGAGACAGGTCCAGTTGCATGATACACAAAGTACTTTCCAATTTACACCTGATCAGTGATACTACTACATGTACTGGAGCTCCCGATGAAAGTCCACACATACACAGATACCATAGCCACATACACCAGCAACATCAACAAGTGAAAGTACAACTACCGAGCTAACCTGTTTTGCTGGTGGATGGGCACCGACATGAAACGTCTTCTTGGATACAGCGGGACGGTGTTGTCCACCCAAAGATGACACTGGATGAGACGGTAATTGTACACGCGTGGTAGTTGGTAAAGCAGCCGATGTGGCGCCAACACTGGACGTAGACGAAAACCGCTCAGCAGGCAGAACAGCCGTTGCTACGGGAGGAAAGCGATTGGTGGTAGCAGAGATGGTCTTAGAGCTGTGCGTAACTGCATCAGCAGGATGTTCATGACCAGTTGCTCTGGCAGCAGCCACAGCAGCAGCAGCAGAAGCAGGATGGTGATGATGAAGCTGATGCTGTTGTTGATGATGAGAGGCCTGATGAGATTGTGCAATGCTGCTCGAGTCTTCATCCATAGGCAGTGGCGGCGGAGGAGGTGAATATGATTCACTGCTGGTGCTAGAACCGGACGAAGATGAACTCTCACTGGAGCTGGTCGATGCAGTCCGTTCAATGGGTGCGATGGGTGCTGCTGCTGGCGGTGGTGCTATTGCTGCTGCAATGGCTGCAGAGGTGGTTGAACTTGATCTGCGCACCTCTGTGGGTGATAGAATTGCAGTTTCGTGCTCAATAGTGCGGTGATGACTAGACTCCGGTACCTCAGACATGGACATCTTCTTCACACTGTGCAACAGTAGCAGGAGTAGCAGCAGTAGCAGCAGCAAAGTCAAGAGCAGCATCGACATGATCAACACCATCATCATCACTGCATCACTTGCAGCAGCAGCAGCAACAGCAGCAACAGCCTCAACCAAAGCAATGCAACGAGGATAAGAGTGAACACAAAACATACAATCGTATCGCATCAAGGTGTCACAGAGACAAAACAATATGCTTGAACTACAGTACTGGCAACTGAAAGCCCACCCCTGAGCGGTGCGCTCACATCGCAAAGACCCAACACGGGATAGTAAACTACGAAATAGAGACCGCTAGAATGTGAATGCACCGCTCAGGGGTCGGATTTCAGTTGCCAGCACTGTACAATAGTGATGACAATCACAATGCTAGCAGCAGCAGCAACAACAAATGTTTCATTGGTCACATTCCACCATGACAATAACGATTTTAACAAGTCTACACATACCGAGAGGATGGGATACCGTCGTGTATAGTGGAGTTCATGCTGGATATCGGTGCTTTTAACGGCGACGCATACATTTTCTCTTCAGAACTGCTAACAGAGAACACAAAGAACAAACAGCACGTATTGCCATTGTACTAGTGCTGGCATCTAACAACTAAATTTTTTTAAATCAAACAGAAGTAAAGCATTCCTGTTGCAGTGGCAGCAGTGAACACTACATACCAGTATACATGAACAGTGCAAGTGTGGCCACAGTATAGATGTGTGCGTGGTGAAATCCGATCCAAAGTGCATATTTAGCACCCCGGACTTGCACGGCCCTTCATGCCCTGCAAGTGGTGCGAATGCTGATGCACGTACACATACACAAAAGCAGTGATGTAACAAGAGTCGCTGAAGACCTAGCCTAGGGCGCCAGTGCTGCACTTTAGGTGGGATTTTACCTAGCGCTATAGAACACCAGTAGTACAATACCTGTACAGTGCACTGTGCTGCACAATGAAATCCAGCCTCGTGATATTCAGTTAGCGCCGGGTGCTGTGTAGCCCTACATGTAGATCAGCAAACACTGGGCTGTGCACTGGTGCAATGTGCTGGGAAGCTGCAGACCTGCAAACACTGGGCTGTGCACTGGTGCAGGGCACTACAAGTAAATGTTCAGAAGGCTGGGTTTCCTTGAGCACAACTGACAGGTGTATAAATATTGGCACATGTACTACTCAGTATGCTGCAATATATGGCACATACCCATGCAGACCTCCGTCGGAATATGCAACCTCTCCGCCTCCTAGTGCAGCCATCTTTGCTGATGGAGCACCAACTGGGTCGTCATTGGAACGTTTCCTAGAAAACACACACATACACCATGTACCACACACCACACGCACACAGACGCGCATCCACGCCCGCACGCACACACACACAAGTACACACCAAGTACTGCCAGTCACAAGGGAAAGTACACAATACAGAATACTGCATGTGAATGAGCTGTGCACTCCTTGATGTGTCTCTAACTGCTAGTACAACCACTGAGAACAATGCCCAAATGAAACAGATCATGATGCATACCAGGAATCTAGCCTTAAACACGCTGGCCTACCCCACAGCTGGGGACTATGTGAGAATGGTACAACCAAAACAGGTACACGGGGAGACAAACAGATACCATAATAATATAGTACACACAGCCAGCCAAAGAGCCAAAAAGACAGACAGCTTAACCTGGTCTGGGTCATGCACAGACATGCAACTCCGCGTGATCCGCAATGGTGTTATGCCCGTGCTCACAGATGACTAATGCAGGTATTCAGGCATACAGTACACACATCATATGTACGTAGTCGCACTAGTCAAAACAAAGCTTGGCCTGATTAGTCCCCAACTTCAAGTTCCATGACATGGACATGTCCGTAGTCATATGACATGCGCACGTACACTCGCACAAGCACACACACACACGCACACACACGCGCGTGCGCATGAGTGACACCAGCTGCAAGAAGTGCATACAGTGCATGCACACAGCAGTACAGAAAATGAAGTCTGGGTATCTGCTAGCATTGGCCAGGAGCATTGGCCAGGAATACACTTACTTTGCTTTCGGGTGGGTAAGCTGTCCAGGATATTACCAAAATCCATGCCATGGCAAAAGAAAATCAGAAAGAGTGGAAAGGACTTGAAGTTAGAAAACAATAACCATAATTATCACAGATAGACATAGACAGACAGACAGACAGACTCACATGTGTACACACACACACACACACACACACACACACACACACACACACACACACACACACACACACACACACACACACACACACACACACACACACACACATGCGGTTCTTGCATTGCATTCCTACCAGCGCATGTGCGCCTCTGGGACCCAACCACACTCAGCAACATCATTGACTCGGATTATACCAACCACACTCAGCAACATCATTGACTCGGATTATACCAACCACACTCAGCAACATCATTGACTCGGATTATACCAACCACACTCAGCAACATCATTGACTCGGATTAGATGTGTTTATCCACCATCAACACTCAGAGTAAGGGCACAAACCGAGGGCCATTTCTGTCCAGGTGTCATATCAGCAATTTCCCTCGCCATCACTGAAGAGGACACTACGAAGTAGTTGCCAGCCTAATTGTACATTACGTACATGTAGTTACTATGCTCTCGTGTCTTCCACTGACAGCACCACTGACAGCACCACTGACAGCAGCAGTTTGCCAGCATGGCCTATAAGTTACAGCCATGAATCATGATACCTGTACTGTGCCTTGCAACTCATTGTCAAAACTAGTACTGCATCATCCACAACAACAGCAGCAGCAGCAGCAGCAGCAGCAGCAGCAATATTAACACCATTAACACCACTACCCATCATTGCTTCAGCTACTACTAGTACACTGTATTGCAAAAGTGGTGCCTATATTCTGTTACTTGCATGCCTACATATGACCTGTGAGTTACAATGCTGCAGTAGTATCTCACCTTCATTTCATGAAGCTCATCATCTGACGAGGAAGAAGCCGTTGCTTCGTCATCTGAATGTGCCAGAATGAAACATAATGAGGGATTACCAAAAATGTTCTTCATTTCCAGTCAGCCGACCAGGTGAGCTTCTCCCAAAGCCACTCAATAACAACACAGCTAAGCAGTCAGCAACAGAAGAATATCCTCAGAGCATGAGTACTCGTCTTATTCTTGCTGTTCTGAAACTGATAAGCTCCACTGCTTCCCAACCAAATGCGTGCGCACGCACGCACACAACACACACACGTACACATACACACACACGTACACACACACACACCACACACACACACACACACACACACACACACACACACACACACACACACACACAGGGCCTTACCAGAGGAAGATGGTGGTACAGTCTCGTACTTTATCAAGCGATCAAGCAGAAAGCTGCACATGCAGATAGGTCCAGACACAAATAAAGATACACAGCAATTGTATTGATTCATCGTCAAGTCAGCGTGCGTTTATATTAAGCACACCCAGACTTGATCACAAGCCCTCACACTTTCATAACCAATACTAGTACTGAACAATAAGCACCCTGGTAAGCATGCAGCAGCTATCCACCTTTGCTTTAGTAAAATTACCTGCTATGGTACCGACTACCGTACTACTACTAGTACATTCCATCCCCTCGGCGTTGCATCTCCAAAATGAAGAAATATCTACAGGGCTAATTCTGTAGTTATTGAAGCACAGCTCCACTGCTTTCAGGCCCACATCCACCCCTACTTTCCACACTCTTCTTCACAACACATCGTCAACAGATATCTCAGCACAGCAGTGTGTCGCACGTCTACCACACGCACAAAGCAAACACAATAGCTGCGCTACACATGCCAATGCATGTACAGGTGGCAGGCCAAACGTCCAATCTAAGTGCACAGCTAAAGCGCGCCACCACCAATAGATGTTGCATGAAATGTGGTCGCATGTGTGAGTGGTTTGGAGTCCCCTTGTTCCCATGGTGCTTGGATAACTGATATCCCCTACTGTAATTGTTTGTATGCATATTACTGAGTCTACACTGTGTATTGACACTGTTAATTTGTGGTGTGTTTTACAGTACTACAGCCAGCTTCCCTTGTGGTGTAATATGGATGTACAATGTTGTACATGTGAAAACAAAATACCTATTAAACAAAACAATACTAGCGCATAAATTACATGTTTGTACGGTGTATCCCAATTCCGGCCACTTACCTTTTATCTCTTGATACTCGCACCAGTTTCCGCTGAGTTTTTCTCATTTCCTCCACAAAACATTCTTGTTCCTAATAAATCAGATTGAAAATATAACGTTCCACGATGGGTGCCCAATTCATTCAAGGCCAACAGAGACAGGAGTATGTACGTACATAAACCAAGTATTTGAGCTTCGCCTTGAGGCGCTTATACTTTGCGCGATATTCTGACATGGCCAGAGGATGTAGCGGGGTAATCAATCAGGCAACGTATTCAATAAGCAAAACAAGAAAATGATGATAATGTGGGTAGCCTGCTCGTATGCCGATTCGGATATCAACACTCAATGACAAGCTCCGTCACATTGACAAACACTATAATTATAACGGCGACGGCGAAGTTCTACATGAATACTGCCTTGATGCTATCAGGAATCAGGTAACAAACGAAACTAACTTTACTTGTGAAAGTCAAAATCAAACAAACTGCATCGTTGCTTGGAAAATAATAATTCAGGTGAAACAGCATGCAAAGCTCAAGCACTGTTTTGAACGAAAAATACTCTACTAGGAGACTGTCCGTGACGTCATGAAAGTGATCAGCCGACAAGCATGCACTAGGCGCGGGGCCGGGGGGCGACCGCTACCGATTTCCTAACCAGACGCGGCCGCGCTGCGCCGCTAGCTACCGATTGTTGTCACTTGTTCACGATCACTGTTGAGTGTTGTTGGCAAGCCGACGGTGGATTGATAGATCCATCTTTACTTATAAAAGAGAGGCACCTGTGACGTGTGTCTGTGTGTGTGTGTGTGTGTGTGTCACGCTCCTTATAAAGAAGAGGCACCTGTGACGTGTGTTTTTGTGTCACGCTGAAGCGCTAGCGCTGCGGAGCAGCGCTGCCCTGAGCACGCGAAGCGTGCGAACAGTGTAGCACAGTGTAGCTAGCGGCCGCAGAAGCACTGAGCACGCGAAGCGTGCGAATCGTGTAGCTAGCGGAAGCAGCCACAGAAGCACTGAGCACGCGAAGCGTTCGAATCGTGTAGCCACCACCACGTGCTGAGCACGCGAAGCGTGCGAACAGTGTAGGTACGGTGGTAGCGCTTATACTATAGCAGACACGATCAGTACGAGTAGCAGTAGCAGCCGCGAGCAGAAGCACTGAGCACGCGAAGCGTGCGAATCATGTAGCCACCTAGCCTAGGCAGGCCATAGGCATAGGCATAGGTAGCACTAGCAGCCGCACAAGCGCTGCGGACCACGTGAACCGTTCTCTGCAAAACGAAACATCTGCAACAAAAGGATACAAAAGATCTGCACTGACTGCACTCTGCATCTGATCTGCAGACAGTGAAGAGCGCATCGCACTTTTGTTCGTAAGTTTATGAATTTTTTGAGCCGCTTCATCCGCCACCAGGTGATGGACAACCCTGACCAGCCTCCCGAAGGCGTAACAGACGTCCCTCCTTCTCCTTCCAACGATGAAGAACCTCCCTCACCAGACCGCTGAAGTCCTGGTGATCACCAGGACTTCAGCGGTCTGGCCACCACGTGCTGAGCACGTGTGCTGTTCATGTACTTGCTTCACCCGCATGCCACATTCGGCCAGGCAACGCTGGCGGGGGTGCTGCTAGTTGTTTATACATGTGTACAAGAGTACATTAATTTTTAATGTTCTTGTACTCTTGAGTCGCAGAGTCGCAACCACTACTTCGTATTCTTGTACTCTTGATAGATCTGATCAACTAACTTGAATCTACCAAGTCGAATAAATACTAGCAAGAGTAGAGTCTACTCGTACATAAGCTCCCAGCGTATTTTACTCTTCATACTACATGTATACATGTAGTATATGCATCTTGCTTGTGGGTTCACATACATGTAAAATCAGTCATGTAACCTACATGATCGTTACGGAGCATCGAAAGATTTCGTCGGTGTTCAGTATTGTGACCAGGGGAGGGAAGGGACACAATTCTCCCAAACTCCTGCTCCAGTCCTGCACAGTACCCCCCCCCCCCCCCCCCCACGACCCGAGCTTATTTTACTCT